GTTATATTATTAGAGTTATTCTAGGTAATCGTTTTCATGCATGCCACGTGCTCCCAGTAGAATTATCTTAGAATCTATTGTAATCGCTCGCTTTTCGATTATTATTTTCAGTTTTTACGGGAATTTCAAGTATAATAAACAAGTTAGAATCGATGCTCGGGATTCTCTGTCTATAAAACGTTTCTCCGACGGCGATGTTGATCTGAATATTTGAACTGATCTGAAAGAAACCCGATGTCAATATCCGCCCCCGTTACAGGCTGTAATAAATTTGCTTGACATCGTTTCCATTTAAACACTAATAAGTTAATAACCTTTTTCGTATAATCATCTTGGGATCAACACATGATTTTAAAGTGGATTCCTCTTTCTACAATAGTGCTTGACGTCAAGTTGCACTGAAAAGATGTTTAAGTTGCTAAGAAAGAGTTGTTTCATTAAAGAAACCAACAAAAGGTAGAGCAATTGTATTGTAATTGAGAGCCTTGTGTCTTGGCTCTTTTAAAGTGTTCCTATTCATGGCTCTTATTTTCATATTACTTCGTGTCCTCTTTCAATTTTATATTATTATTTTTACTTTATTTATTTATTTATTTTTTAGATTTTGCGCTTTTCTTGGTATTTTGGAGGGTGTTCCAGGCTTTTTGGGGGTGTTTCTGGTTTTCTGGGGGTGTTCCGGGTTTTCTGGGGGATGTTCCTAGTTTTTTGGATGTTCCAGGATGTTCCTGGAAGTACTACATGCTGTATTTCCCTGACATGTAAAGGCTGACTAGACTTTATTGATACCCAGTTGAAAGAACTGGGGCTTACTGCTTTGGGAAATCGTATGAAATTGAGAGATTACTGCGCAAAACGGAAAAAAGTCGGTAGTGATGAGAATGAAAGGAAAGGAAATCTTCAAAAAGCTGCAAGCACCTATTGGAGCTAGCTCACAGTCAAAGTCAAAGGGTCAAACAGTAAAAGATATGGCTATGACAAAAAGTCAACAGCTGCGCTTTGAGTTTGTGTGGAAACACTGGTCAGGTAGAAGATTTAAACAAAAGAAAGCAAAACATGCAGGCTGGGGCAGGGTATGCGATGCAACATACAACTCAAAAGGAAACGGTACTTACACGAAATTAGCTTGTTCCCACTTTTCAAGGCTTGGTCCAATTTACGTGTCGATGTTTGAACTTGTCGAATCAAAAACTTTACAAAGTTGTATTTTGTTAGTACATGTGCTTTCACGCAATCCATTTTGTTAAGTCGTGCGCTCTCACTCGAGTTAGATGAAGAGCAGCCAACCGTTGCAGACAGGCGAGACATCCACCAGAACCAACTGACCTTGAATTCGTAATCGACAAGTCCAGCATACCACAACATTTCCTCCGTGCAGATGTTGAAACCCGTGGAGGAGGACATGTTATCTTTGCGACAGAGGAACAGCTAGAAAAGTTAACTGAGGCCTAGTAGTGGTACATGGATGGAACTTTCAAGTTGTGTCACCCACCCTTCAGTCAGCTCTTTTCCATCAATGCGTTCGTCCGGCAGGGTGATTACGCAAAGCAAGTTCGGCTACTGTTTGTGCTCATGTCAAGCAGAAGAAAGCACGACTACAAAAAGGTGTTGAAGAAGGTAGGAGAGGATACTTTAGTAATCATTTGTACGTATTATTTACATAAAAATTATAAGAAAGCAAGATTTAGACGTCTTATTTAAGCAGAGGCTTTTACACTTTTCCTGATCTTTTTTTCGCGGGGTTCGTTTTTTTTTTTAATTGACGTATCTTATCTTAACTAAGGTTTTAAGGATCCTGCCATCGTCCCCTGCTGTAGAACAAGTGACTGTTGACTTCGAGAAAGCCGTGTGGGGAGCATTTCGTAAAGTCCTCCCTGAAGTGCAATTGCTGGGCTGTGCATTCCAGTGGAAACAGGCCCTTTGGAGAAAGGTGCAGGAGCTGGGATTGTAGACTGCATACACCACTGATCATGCGACAAGTAGCTACATCAGACGACTTATGGCGTTGCCCTTTCTTCCGCACAAGTCAATCGAAGCAACCTTCGAGAGTCTGAGACCAGAAGTTACCACGCAGCCACTGAAGGAGTTTGTCCACTACATCGGAGAGACCCGGATAAACAGCAGAGTATGGCGCCCTAAGTGCTGAAGCGTGTTCATGCTGTCAGTAAGAACAAATGACATAGAAGGCTGGCATCATGCCCTGAACTGAAGAGCTGCTGGCCGCAGTGGACTTCCCTTCTACTTGCTTTTGTTCCTGCTACACAACGAGGCCCGCCTGGTGTCACTGCAGATTCGGCTTGTGTCTGAGCGCAAGCTGAAGCGGATCCAGAGAGCCGCCTACCGCCAGTTACAAAGCCGGCTCTTTGAGCTGTGGGAGGCATTTAACAGGAGAGAGAAATCCCCCAAGTAATCACTGAAAGGTTGCACAAACATCAATAGGCCAATGATCATCTAAAGTACTTGAAGGACTCATGAACTTGATTTATTTCATCATTAGCTATTGTAGATAATGTTAAGGTATTTTTAGTAATCACCATATCATTAGAAATCTCAAAAATACAGTACATTAGAAATCCCAAATCCAGTAAGCTAAGCAAAATTGACTAGTTTAAAACTTAAAGAAATAATCAGTATATAGTACATTATATATATTATATATTATTTCTTGATTACGTTTAATCAAGGGGCGGGTGTTACTTGGACAACTCACATGTCCCCGCTTGTAATAAGTATCAGTTAGGATTTCCTTTAAAATATATTACTGCACTTTTCACAAACATGTGAATTCTGTAAGTCACTCTTTCAAGTCACTTTTTTTTTATTTTGTGTTTGGCGGGGCTTGTGTCACTAACCTTGTCGTATTCTTCTTATGCTATCACTCTTCAAATAGTCTTCGATTAGTCAACGTTCAGACATTTGGCAAATTCGGACGTAAACAAACACATTTGTTTCGTGCCACAATCTCGACCAGTATGTCCTGTCTTGTGGTTAGTTCTGCGGTTTCGATCCTTTGTTTTAGGGAAAGCCTTAACTTAAACTATGAAAACACTGTTTACAACATAAAGACTTGGTTATTGCATGGGTACGAATCATCTAAGCTTTGGGTACGAATCATCTTAGCATTGGGTACGAATCACCTCAACTTTGGGTACAAATCGTCTGGGTACGAAACGTCCGTGGGTACGAAAAGTCCTTCATTTCCATTTCAACCTGCACAGGAAAGTTAAATGCAGAGAAAGTGATGGAACTGAACCGTGGAGAGTGTCATAGCCCATGTTCAAAACGGGGAAGCAACAGTGCGCAATGTTAAAATTACCCCAAACTTTGGTAAGAGTCAGCGAGACACTGAAATTTATAATCTTGAGTAACATTTCGTGTTTTAATTTTGCTAAATAACTAAATTAATGAGGTGGAGCACAGTACATGTAAATTCAGTTTTTCGGCATTAGTTGTCTTTGACAGACTAATGTGAGGTGTAAAACAAATATTGTTTGCAATTTGCTGTATAAAAATGAACTGGTATTGTCGGTTCTACCTATTACTCAACAACCTTAAAAGGTAAGGCAAGTAAAACTATGTACATTTGACTTCTCTTACAGAATATGTGGAGGAAATGTTTCAAACATACATAAGTTCAAGCGAAGATGAATTGCAGCAGGCGGCTAGGAAGCTTAGAAACATGACCCCAGCACCAATTAACACAATGTTGCAGAAGCAACCAAGAGAAGAAGCTGTTGCGAAGAAAATCAAGAGATCCAAAATGGTTGTGACTGATGTCCCCCCAACCTCAACACCAGGTAGTTAGTTACATACTGTAACCAGTGATCAGTAAAATAGAGATGGCTTTCATTTATTGAAACTGTGGGATGATCAGGACTTAAAGAAATGCAGCAAAGAAAGCCTGAAAAAGCTTCCCATTAGCTTTCTAGCTCAATTGATTAGAGTGCTGCACTGGTATCACAGAGATCAGCGTTAGAATCCCAGCAAGCCTGAATTTTTTCAGGCTTTCTTTTCACAACTGCATAAGTTGTGTATTTGACTGTAGCGATCTTTTCTGTTTATAATATGTTATGTAGATTATTTTCTATAAAAATTGGAGAAAGGGATAAATTTTGTGGTTAAAGGAGCAAGGATTTTCATGTTCACAACCCTTTCTATCAACTTTAGAGGAGCTGCTGAGTTGTACTGTATTCAATTTACGTTTTTTCCTAGTTCCTTATGAACCAGTTGTAAGCACGAGTTCAAATGTGGAGGGGGACAGGGGGGCGGGAGCCCGGGAGAACAGGGGGCGGGAGGGGTACGGGAGACGAGAGAAGAAAGGGCGGGAAGCGGGAGAGAAATTCCAAAAGGCAAGCTTTCGTTAATTGTTACTGCTCATCATCCAGTCAAAGAAACGAACCCAACAACGTTTCTTGACTTCCATTTAACGTTCTCTGAGGCCCTAAATCAAAATTTTAATGCGAGAAAAGTGTTTTTTGCATTTAAGCGTGAGCCCTATCTTTTTTCTCGTAATGAAGGCCACTTTAACCTTTGGAAAGGTTCAGCCAATGTAGTATCCAGTGCTCAGGAGTACTTACTCCACCGCACTGTGTAGTACACGTGAGTCGACTGTGTGAGTCGTTTCAGTGTTTTGTCTGTTTGACCTGTCTTGCAGGTAAAATGTCGTCAAAGACCATTTTAATCGGTCTAAGTATTTTTTGGTGTGGTGTGGAAAAATCCGTTCATGGAAGACCTTCCTGGGAGCTCGCTCCGTACGATTGTAGTTTGCAAAACACTAAAGATTTTACGGCGAACAGTGGACTGAGACTATTGTCGCTGTAGTGGGATGTCAGAAGCGGTGGTCAAACCTAGATAACCAGGTCTGTCTTCTAAATGCAGAGATGTTGGTTTTAATTGATGAGAGGGGATTTGTAAGTACATTTTTGGCTCATATCGTAGTTGCTTTATGGTGATATCAATTAATTTTATCGTTCCCTTTTTTTAAATCTTGAAAGGACCAACGTATCATGAGACAATCTGGTTACAGCTTCCGTGGCTATCGGGCTGAAGTTCACAGGCAGCTCTCAAACTAGAATCCAAGAATCAAAGCCATTCCTATCATCTGTACCGAAGGATTGATAGAAATTGGAATTCACCGTGGAACAACAAATGGAGATGTATTTCTACAATTTGTAAATGAGAGGCTTGTTCCGAATCTTCTACCATTTGATGGTGTTAACCCGCGCTTGGTTGTTATAATGGGTATGATATTCTGTAGTACATTCAAAGTATTAAGCGCGATCTAAGTACAGTTGAACCTCTTTACAACGGCCACCTTGGGGACAGAAGAACGTGGCCATTTTAAGGAGGAGGCCGCTGTTGGGAGGTTCAACTGTTAAGTCAATGTATGGATTTTTTGTCCTCTGGAACGAAAAAATTGTGTTATTTTGGGGTACTCAAAATGGTTAATTTCCCGAGTTACACAGGGGTGGGTCACATGGTGTACATGCAGTTCTCAAGTTTCAGAGATTGAGTTGCAACTTCATTCTCGTTTGTGTTCGGGTTGTACGTACGCCTTCTAGTTTATGCTGTAATTGTAATTTGTTTCTGCTGTGATTTTTAACATGTCTCACTACAATTTACAGACGCTTCCGTCACAGAATTATGCGGCCTTGCATGCAGAGCAAGACGAAGAATTTCATGACAGCTTCGAGTACCTGCCCGTCAACCTCGCTAACGATCGAGGAACGTCTTCGCCTGGTGTTCGCAATGGCCAGTCATCCACTCCTCGTGTTACAACCAGCGACGTCAACGGCAATGCAGATGACATTGCTGCGTTAAACGCGGCCATTGCTTAAGCCAAGGCGAACAATGCAGAGCTAGAACGTCGAGCAGAAACGGTCAAACTGAAAGCCGAACTTCATGCACTGCGTCAGCGAAACGCCCATTTACAAAGTCAAGCGGCTGCCCGTCCTGATTTGGCTCCTGGTGAACGTGGCAAACCTCGAGAGTCTTCCGTCGCAATAAAAGAGCTCCCGGCTGATCCTGCTTTGAGCGCGAAGGTTTCTTCAGAAATCGAGTGTCTCGGGTTTTCCTCGAGTGACTCTGAAGACGAGGGCGATGCCTCCATCAAGAAGAAAGCTCGAGGTAAGAAATTACAGTTGGGCAAGACTGCTAAGCTCATGAGTCGTGTGTTAGCGCCACAGCACTGGCCTCATAGTTTTCTTAGTCTCGCATACGTTTCCAGGGAGCGACCTTATGACGAGCTAACTCTTGCCGAATTCGCTGCCGGATACGCCTCCATCTTGCAGCTCAATAGTCTGCCTCCTGACGAACATTCTGGCTGTCTTGATCATTTCATTGTTTTTGATGTACCTCGTCACTCAATTTCCTTGGCCTGCCGTTCGAGAGTTTCACGGCGCTGTCTTGTTTGAGATCGAATGCGGAGGTGCTCGTTGGGGTGATTTGTTCGCTCATTTGGAATCGCGTCTTCTTCGCTCACCAACTAAATGAAGTATCAGTTCTTCTCGCCCCTCTGGTGCTGTGTTATTTTGCCGTGATTTCCAAACCGGGAAATGCTCACATACAAAGGATCATTATGGCACGATCCGTAACAAAAGAAAGTGGTTACAGCTTAAGAGTACTAATTTTTTTTTTGTGGTCTTGGTTTTGAGACAGTGCTGCCATACATCATTCACAACGCGTTATTGATGCAATCAATGCTTGAGGTGCATTACTTATTTTCCTTCCTCCATACAGCCCACATCTCATGCCTTGTGAAGGAGTAATCGGACAAGTGAAAAGCTCGATCAGAGAGAACCGAACTAGTTTGGGAGCAGTGCGATGAACTGGAGACCATGGTCTTTGAAGCTTTTATGCAAATAACTGATGAAGAAATTTCAAACTACATCCGCCACTGTGAATACCTTTAATTCAAACATTTTATTCCACTTTTGCTAGCTCGTTAACTGGTTTTCCCCTTTCTTTGTCAAACTGATCTCTCGTCAGCATTTCTTTGTCAGAGAGATTCTTTAGCTGAGCCACTTGACTATAAATCATTCCTCTTAAGCGGAGCTGTAGAAAAAAAAATTACATTAGTAATGCTTGCAGTTCTGTCTTGCTCAGAAAACTTGACGTGTGGCCTTTCAAATTCATGGATCTTTTAACGCACGATTTTAAAAGGCAATTAATCGCAGCAATCACAGTGACAACGAAAATCGTTTTCCTTAATTTTCATTAGATACGCTCTTTTCTTGAATAACGGAGTAACACGTTAGAGAATTATACCTTTTCCTCCACACCTGAAACTGTCGAGCTCGATGTTGCCGTTGAAGTTGCGGAGCAGCTCGCTTAACTCCTCCCCGTGAAAAAAAAAACTTGTGGCATCTCGTCCTCGCTATGGTGAATTTTATTCACCTGTATTAATAAAGAAACAATCAAGTCATAAAATATTATTTTGCGTCCCAGTACAATGACGAACAAAAGTGTTAATTTAACTGAAAAGCAAACACACACACGTGCATTTAAAATTGGCAAGTTTACAAGCGCGGAATCAAATATTAGAGAGCAATCATTTTTCTTTATTATCACAATTCCTCTTTCTTCATCTGCAATTAAATGTCATGAAATTTTAGCGTTGATGTTATTACATTTCTGAGCTTACCAACATTCTTGCCAAGCATTTTAGTTTAAAGTCCGCTATGCCTCCTCCATGCTTTTCTTGCAGACGTGCTAGCCTTTTTTCGTAGGAGTCTTGATCGTCCTCCTCCATACTCCGTCGTCGATAGAGTGGCCTGCATTATAGAGTTTGGAAAAAAAAAATTGTTTACGACAAACACAAGGTTAGCAATTTTGTTACTAGTGCGTTTTTGAAATGTCAAACTCCAGGCAAGCAAGTTAGTTATGAATCATATCTGAAGTTTTCTTCTTTGCTTGTCCTTCCCTTCTTTCTTTCTCGTCCTGTTTGTATTTCACGACACTGTGTGGATCCACCCATAAGGTGATCCACCCATTTTTAATACTTTTGTAGGCGTCTTCTAGTAGTTGTTTGTCTGTTTTTATGTTGCATTTTCGGTGTCCTTCACTCATGTAGCCGATAGTTAAAGAAGACCAATAAGAAGAGGGACTTAACTCTTCGGAATAATTTGGAAGCAAATATTTCTTAAATTCATTGACTGATACAAACTTCGGCAAGTCGCATATGGTATACTGTTCAAATTGGCCCTTGTTGGCCAATTTGGACACCTTCATAAAAGCTTGGATAGTTTCCATAGTTCACCACGTGCAACAAGCACAAGAGAACAAAATATTATGCAAATGTAATAGACTATTTTCAACATATTAAAATTCATACTTGGCTCCACGGGCTTGAGGTAAGAAAAGAAAAGAAATGCATTATTCATTATTGAGCCTCGAGGTGACTTCTTTTGTTTTAGTCCCTAGGCCTCGCAGCCAAGTATGAATTTTGATATATTGGAATTGGTCTATTCATTATATACTTATAGCCATAAAGCCCTTGGGTCTCATAGTTTATGGTTTATCCTTTCAAGCGACAACGTTTTTTCAATCAGGTATATACAAGTAAATCGTTTTAATACGTACCATTGAAGTCATTGAAGAAAAGTGGCCAAAAGTCCAGCAATGCTCTTTTTCTCTCAGTCATCTTTCTGATAAAACTTACGATCAAAACAATGAAAAACCTCGCCGAGAGGATCAAAAGCGTTTTCCTTGGTCCCTGGTTTACTTAAAATTCCTTAACAAGACTTGCAGTTCTAAAGTATTCGCAGAATTTCCCCTTCGAGAGTTTATCAGATGATTTTCACGTCGCAAAGCTGCATCCCCCGTGCAGCAACACTTAGTAAACAAGTGATGTCACGGAGATGTGCAGTACGTTATTCAGCCCTGTCGGGACAACATAGTAGATCTCCTCGCCTACAGTGCTTTTAGAAATGCAGAATATGTATGCAAGAACATGAAGCTTTAAGTATTGGCGAAGCCAAATAAAAACAAGTAATACTCTGTTGCGCACATCGAGAATACAGCGACGTCTCCTGTCCATTCACGGTGTTCGAGGCCAGTGTCTTAGTAAAGTTACCTGTCCGTATATTTTTGCAACAACAACTTCCAAAGTTTCTGGTGTCTGCCCCGTCTTGTAACAAAATATTACAGGGTTGAGTTGTAAAGCTTGCCACACGTCTCTTCCTCTCGATCTTCTTCCATGAAAGATGGGAAACAAGGTCCCAATCAGGGGAGTGTTTCTGTTGCATACTACAGGCAAGGACAGGGCGGAAAGAAGAAGAACCAAAGTGTTGGGGCTGAAGACCAAAAACGTTGGCGGGGGGAGAACACAAGGAATTTTGAGTAAAATTTAAAAAACAAGAAGCCAGATAAATTGATGAAACAATAACGGGGTAGGTAACTAAAACAATTGTTGGGGGAGGAGGCGGGAAGTTTTCTTTAGGCATTCTTATTTTTTGGCCAATTACCCATCCAACAACTTGCAAGGAAGGTCTGTCTTTTTTTTCCATCAGTCAGCAAAACATGCCTTCGTCTCCGCCGGTCTCTGAAAATTGCATATTCAAAATAATTTATGCTGACGCATAACACGCTGTAAAAGAATGAGACCATTTAAAACAATTTGCCTCAAAGTGAGATTGTTACATATGTACATGGGCTTTAAAAGAGGGGGCAAAAGGGTTTACGGTGATGCAGTTTTGCGGATATTTTCATTTTAAGTTGCGGTATTCCTGTTTTACAAAACCAAACGGTTTGGGGTATTTAGAAATTTTCGAGTAATTTCAATGCAGTTTGCGGTGTTGTTATGTTTTTCTGTGCGGAGTTAAACAATGGACACATGTTGCACTCGAGTGAATACCAAAGCGAATACCAAAGCAAAGAATCTTTTTCACTGAATCAGGAAGATCGACACCTATGTGCAAAGAAAAAAAGGAAAAACAAAACAAGCAAAAAATCATAAGCAAAACAAAAAACACCGTCAAAAGCAAATGGGAATGTTTTTTAGACATATATATATATAAGCCTAAAATTTGTGGTTTCTCAGTCATACTCGCAACGATGGGCGACTTCTCGGACAATATTTTCCTAAGAGCAGCATTTGGAGGAGCTATTGAAACACCAGTGACTACTAGCACCTCCAGCCCTAGTACGAGTACCTGAACGAGTGCCTCTGGCGCTGTGACATTCTCAGATGCACTGCAAAGTTATACACGCTAGGGCAAAGCTCGAGCGAAGCTCCAGCCAAGAAGACGCTACGCAACACACCACAAGTATTCAAAATTGGAGGACCACTTGATATTAAAAGCCGTTGAACTTAAAGGAAGAGATTGGCGAACAGTTTTGGCCTTCTTGAAAAGCAACTGGGAGGTCCTTGGAGAGGAAGAAAAGACTTACAGAGACTGCGACATCGGCGAAAGAGCTTGCAAGAGCGCCTAAGGAAGCAAGCGTCGGCTTTATTAAACAAAGTTAAGGACAAGTGAGTATCCGATATAGACTGACATTCTTAATGTTGTTAAGTAGAGGGCTGAAACCTTTCCCCGTACGTATTCTTAAAAAAAAAAAGTGGTTATTCTTGAAGCCGAGAACTTTTTCTGCCTTGGGCGATCATATGAACTAATTCCTTGTACTCTTAAGATACACTTATTCATTTCTTTCCTACTTTTAGACCTTCAGATGCAGTAACTAACATCGATGATGAGTACCACACGGTTGACGACCTTTTGAAAAGAGCAGAAAGTCAGCCAGAGTCAGATGAGTCTTCTGGAACTAGCGATGAAATCCAGGAGACCCTGGGAAAAATACGACGACAAGACGAGCTTCATCGTCTGAACGCAGCCGAATTGCCCGAGGGAGGTTTAGATGGCTCAAGCGTTGCCCAGGGGGAGAGGAAGAGGAAGCGTGTACAGTCACCAACATCCACCATCGGCAATAAGCTAGACCGTCTCTTGGAGCAACTACCTTAATTTTCGTCCACCGCAAAACCAGGCGGCAGAAGCGCACGTAAAAGCCCTTGGCAAGTGGGAAACAAAAATTGGTCTTCTAAGTTCCTTTGACACAGATTAAGTGACATTATTGGCAAGATTTCCGCATAACCCCATACATTTGTTACGCATGCATGTTAGGACTCTTCTTATTTCTTGTGAAATAGTATGAGACTGCTGCATGCATAATGACTGTATGGGGTTATACGGAAATCTTACCACATTATCTTCAGGGGCTAAGTCACCATATTTTACGTAAATTCTTCGATTGTAATAATTACGAGTTTCTAGACTTGGAAAGACCTCATTATTTTACTGAGAAAATCCCGGCCTTAAAACAAACCTTAGTATTTATGAGTAAAATATTGAAGAAAATCTTTAAAGATGGAAGTTCTCAATACATTTTTCAAAAATTCAGTCTATTTTAAAATTATCTA